AGCCGGCGTGTTCTTACGTATTTTTCATGAATTAAACTCAACTTTATTTTGTTCAAACTTGCATTTGCTGTAATAACCCAAATTAAGGAACATTCCCCATTGAAACGAGTGAATGCGAGCGCAAGACACGCTCGTTGGCTAATTAGAGACATTGTATTTCTACAACGTCCTTGTGCATTCGCTGAACTTAATTTACTATTGAAGTTCAGTGTGTGCATCGGGTCTTTATTTTCTCCTAACAGTCCATTCTTAACTTCAGTCAATCCGATTCATTATTATTAAACATTCCATTTCGGAAAAATGTAATTTTCGTGTTTGTCCACCTGAAGTTCAGCGAAGATTTGACTTATGACATGACGTTATGACATGACTTGACCCTATCTGACGTTTCCCCACCCCTCCACACGCATATTCCAATTTACAATTTGCGAGGTTTGATGTTTGATATAAACTTAATGAATGAAGGAAAGTGTAGAACAAACTACACACAATGCATCTAATAAAAATGATTTGATGAATTTTAGATATTTTAACTGTGTGAAATCATATCAGAATAGTTCAATTTATTTTATATATATCTTTGGAAATTAAATAATAAGATGCTAAAGGTATACGGGCCTTTGTATTTGATTTTAAAATACTGGTTTCATATTCCATATATTTTCAGGAAAAAGGGCAATTGAAATTTGAAGACAAATGGCCTCATATGGGCCCAATTGTTTTGAAATTGCTCAAACAAGAACCGGTTTCACCTGCAGAATGGCAAGAATTATTTTATGATGTACACTTAGTATGTCTTTGGGATGAAAAAGGGCCGGCGAAGTTACGAGAACATCTCCATGAAGACATAGTAGATTTCATTAAACAAGTGCAAACTCGGGTTCTTGCACATCGTCAAGAAGAAGCATTATTGAAGGCATACATAGCAGAATGGAAAAAGTTTTTCACCCAGTGTAATTATCTTCCAACGCCATTCCGGCAACTCGAAAGTAGCTTGCAGGGTAAACCAACAACGTCCAGTTCAAATGTGCAAAACAATACTAATAAAAAAAGTCTGGGAGATGAGAGCATGGTCCGAAAGCTTATGCTAGATTTGTGGAATGAAAGTATTTTTAGTGATATAAAACACAGATTGCAGGAGAGTGCTATGAAGTTGGTACATGCGGAGAGGAATGGGGAAGCTTTCGACTCTCAATTAGTAATTGGTAAGAATTTTTCATAGTGCCTGTGCCATCAATTGGTAAGAAAAGAACATTATTGAACATTGGTTTCATTTATGATCGAGACTCCAAGAGGAAACAAAAGTTTTATATTAATCACGTCTGAAAATATAATAATTACAATAAAATACAACTATTCTGCATTATGTTCAATATATCAAATTATCTGAGTAATTGATTATGTGTCTGCAATCATAAAATATAGCTCATAAAATAAGATATAGTCATAATATATCTCCCATTAAAAATTCAAATAGATGAATGCCATTCAGTGTAAAATTTTAACAGGATCAGCTACTGGAAATGATTTCCTGAAAATCTACACATTTCAATTGTATTCAGTATTGTGAATATCTACAATGAATGTATATCATTCAAATTTTCAAAAATTGTTTCAATGTTCATGCTGTAAATACCTTCATACCCTACTTTATTTTTCATTTATTTTTACACGTTCCTTATTGTGTGACAACTATTTGTTGAGTTTGTTAGCATTGGTCTGCAAGTTTTTATGCCTGATGTTTTGTTCATGACTGCGATAGACATCATCAAAGTCAATGAGGACAGACATAAAAAGTACTAATCACTGCCAACAAACCTGGAAAATACCTTTAACACAATTATCTTCGGCAGTGAAAATATTGGTAAATATAAATATGTGTTGGGAGTCTTCTATGACCTCGCTCATACCTTCGATACCATCAACCCAAACTTTTTGAAGATGAGATGGGGTATCCGAACATACTCTCAAAAAAGAAGGCACTCACATTATCTCATTGGAAGATATAGTAATACTCGATAAAACTCGAAATTACTATCCCAGAGTACATAGAAAGGCAATAGAAATTTAAAAACTTGAATAATTTCAATAAAAAAGAAAAGGCAATGAACATTAATAAAATCTGGCTATCTGTCTTTGATTCTACACAAACAAGGTCAGGTAATTCGATCAAGAGAGTCACGCCCACCTATAATAATATAAAACCAGAGTAAAACAGCAGCATTGTAGTTTCTGCGTTAGGGACAATGGGAAGTACTGTCTACCACAGTAGTAGATGGAACGTTAGGTATAAAAACTGTAGACCACAGCCGAAAAACCCGAAAAAAAGCCGTGAAAGTTTACATTCTTTGATCTCATTTTTTCATTTTTTTCTTACGTGACTGGCAGAACTTGTGATGCATTGTTTGGAACCTTTGGTCTAGTAATGAATATTACTGAAGTTTCATTCCAACACCAAACCGTTATTTTTAACACCCCGACACGTGTTTCGATCACAAAGTTATCATCTTCAAGGTCAAGATTAAATGGTTTGATCTTCTTATTGAAAACGATCACCTGGTGATCGAAACACGTGTTGAGTTGTTGACAATAACCCTTTGGTGTTGGGATAAAACTCCACTCATATTCGTGACTGGCAGAACACCAACAGTTGAGGTCTATAGTACTCCCATTAGGACTTCTCAAGGAGGAGTATTGGGTTATCTGCTATTCTTGTTGTATATCAGTCATTTACCTATTCGCATAAAAAAAATGGAGTGTGTTCTGTAACTGCTAATGAAACACTTGACTTATTGAGTGACATTCAATAAGTGTTAGAAAAATTACTTCATCATTAGTATGAATTAAATGATCCTTATTGAATTCAGTAGTCCCCAAAAACAAACAATATATAATTCAACTTTGGCAACGCTAAAATGATGACATCAGAAAACACAAAATTGCTAGGCACAGAGTTAGACTACAAATTAATGTTTAATAACCAAATTGATACCATTTGTAAAATATTATTTTAACTGTACTGTGTTGTCTACAGAGCAACCAGATGTAATATCTTTGTATCCTGAAGGTTAATTTTATAACATGTTTCCTGAATCTATGAAATTAGCAAACTGACTAGAATAATTTTTTGCTTCATCTTTTATTCACTAAATAAATTCCTTCAAATAAATACCAGGACTATAGATCTTTTATGCACACCTTATACTTGTTTGAAATCTGTCCACATCTCATATTTTATTTTATATTTTCAACAATTCAGAAGCTATCTTTGTATGAAAATTTGGTTAAATAATATTCAACAAATATTGCTGAAATCTTAGCAACCAAAATTCAATAGAAAAGATTGCTATGATGATAAAAAGAAACGCTCACTAACCCGCAATTCGCTGATTTAATGCTCGCCATGAATTAATTATAAAGGACCATTTTGTGCAATTTACTCTCCATATGAAATGGAATAAAATTGACTAACCGAAAGTAAGTTGTTGATTTGAACCTTTTTACCACGGTCTTTTTTAATGAATTGTTAATAAATAAGTCAATTTTATATGAGGCATTTATACTCTGTATTCAAAATAAGCAGGGCCAGCATGGAAAAAACAGAAACCGTGGGAGATATAAAGTCGGTTAATCTAGGAAAACATTTCTCATTTCAGAGCATATTCTAATGACGTTTTGTCTGTACCCTGAACTCACATATACAATATCAATATCAATACAGGAAAAAAAAAGAGTTGAAGTTGAGAATAAATCAGTGCACAGTATTTCATTTTTTCTGTTGAGAAATTGACGTATTAAAGTTAAAATGTATCATTCAACAACAATTGAAGTGAAATTTTTAATTCCAACAACTCTGGTCCCTCTTAAAAAATTCCCATCAACTGGATATCAAAAAAGATTATAAATTTCAGATACAAACTCATAAAAATGTGTCAATGAACAAAGAATATATTCAAAATTCTGTTGATGTTGGACTATCGTAAATGAATAGAGAAATTTTTGAATTCATGAATAGAGTGAAGTAGTATGTTGACACTCATCTGTTAAATTCAAAACATCATCACCAATGTTAGTCTATTTTTAGTACTGGCAGCAATTGAAAGTGACATCAAAAGTAATCATCAAAAATCATACATTTTTCACGTTTGAAGAGTATTCTTCGCATCTGAAGAAAAATTATTATGTTTTATTGCAATTCTTCCAATAAATCTGTCAAGTCGAAATCACTTGGTGTTGTCAGTTATGGATGTTTTCTGTGAATTTCATATTGTAATTTAATTTTCATGTTTGATGTGATGCCATTTTCATCAATGTCAAAAATTATGTAAAATGTTTATTACTTGCTCCTTATTAAGTTGCTTAATGAGTTTGGCCACAGTTAGTCACTTCTTCTGATAACCAATCTGCATTATTCTTAATACCATAATTAAGAGCTTTGGATAAATGTTATTCATTCAAAATTATACTTCAAGTATAAACTGAATGAAAACAATGTTTGTTTCCTGTTAATCTATGATTGAATACAGGTCAATATATTGATAAAATCACTAGAACGTTGAGTAAGTTTCCGAAGATGTTTTATTAACTTTCATATTGAATTGTTTCCCATTATGAATTCTGTTTCCAGGTGTGAGAGAGTCTTACGTCAACTTGTGTTCCAACACCGAAGATCGATTACAAATCTACCGCGAAAATTTCGAAGCAGCCTATATACAAAGTACCGACCTATTTTACCGTTTGAAAGCCCCCGAACAATTGGCGATCAATGGTGTTCAAGCTTATATGCGATATGCGGATGCCAAGCTTAGAGAGGAAGAAGCAAGAGCCCAACGATACCTCGAAGCAGGAAGTAATGGTGTTATCCAATGTTGTGTCAAAGTACTCGTCGGCAATGCTTTGTCGGTGTTACTAGCCGAATGCGCACCCCTCATCAGGGCGGGAGAAACGGAGAGGTTACAGTTGATGTTCAGGTTGTTGGAACGTGTGCCTGAAGGAGTGCAGCCGATGTTGACTGAATTGGAGAATCACATTACGCAGGCGGGTCTGGCCGATATGATAGCCGCAGCCGATATAATTACTCAGGATTCGGAGAAGTATGTGGAAAGATTACTGGACCTGTTTCGCAAATTCAGTAAGCTTGTACACGAAGCGTTTTCAGATGACCCTCGGTTTTTAACGGCCAGAGATAAGGCTTTCAAGGCTGTGGTGAATGACACTACTGTCTTCAGGTTAGAACTTAGCAGTGGGAGAAATATAGGGACCAAATCGATAGCACCCGAAAGTAAATGTCCCGAACTGTTGGCTAACTACTGTGACATGCTGCTGAGAAGAACGCCGCTTTCCAAAAGGCTGACTAGCGAAGAAATTGAAACTAGGTTAAGGGACGTATTGTTAGTTTTGAAGTATGTTTCGAATAAAGATGTATTCATGAGGTATCATAAGGCCCATTTGACAAGGAGATTAATTTTAGATGCAAGGTTAGTTATAATAACAATTTGGTTTTCCATTATCAATTATATAAAAATAAACAAAAACCTCAATCAGCAATATAGAAATAATTAGCTTACACACAGTACTGGATATAAATTCTTCTATATACACCTTGAAGCCCTAACAAATAAGTGAGGGTTTCAAGTTCAATTTCTTTGTCAGACCTTTCAGAATATTTTAAAACCGTTTTCACAATTCAAGATACAAAATATTGAATACATACAATATATAAAATTGCAAATTCTGATGACATATTGACATTTCAATTTTTATATTTTTTTATTGACTTGAGATCTAATTTTGAAAAACAAGAGTTTCCTTTTCTCTTTAGATGATTTTTTTGAGTATATTACTTTATAGAAATAAACAGAATAACTATTTAGAGGAGGAAATATTGATTTTGTGTGTAATAAAAAAACTTATGGTCTTGAAGCTGGCTAAATAAAAGTGTATAATATCGATACGACAACCCTCAGAAGTCGAAACTTGTGCGAGCTAAGGACCAACGAGGTCTTACCATTTAACGTGTGATTCCTAGAATGATATAATATAGAAATTGTGATAATATATGAAAGATCAATGCAGAAAATTAAAGATTTGAAAAGGAAAACTAATAAATCATGTGTATATGTAAAATGTAAAGATGTATAAAACAGATATAGTTTTACATGATAATTGATATTGCAAAATGGTGCATATTCTTACAAGTTTGAGTATGAAAATGCTTGAGAAAGCTATTGTCTACACGTGTTGGATATGGATCGGTTTGAATATCTCTGTGTTTCAGTTACAATATTTAAACTTTTTCATATAAATATCCACAGGGGAAATTGTGGTGTGAAGTGTCCTTTAGATAGAACTGGATCTTCATAATCTCAAAAAGTGAATGCATTTTATTAGTCCCTGACTAAATTTAAATCTCAACATTTGCAATATTGAAGTAGTTACACAAATCTGTATAATTGTATACTACATATTCATAACTGTTTTTTTATTTACATAATATCATTGTAAGACGTATGGATTTGGTAATGATTAATGGTTCAAAACCCTTTCAGCGCAGACAGCGAAAAAGAAGAAGATATGGTGGAATGGTTGAGAGAAGTTGGTATGCCAGCAGATTATGTCAATAAATTGGCGAGAATGTTCCAGGATATTAAAGTAAGTGAAGATCTGAATGGCCAATTCAGAACATCAACTGCCAAGCATGATGCAATCAATATTAAAATATTGAATGCAGGTGCCTGGGCAAGGGGATCTGAAAGAGTAACAGTTAGTTTACCAGTAGAATTGGAAGACTATATACCGGAGGTGGAGGAATTTTACAAGAAAAAACATTCAGGGAGAAAATTACAGTGGTAAGTTCAATTACAGTAAGTAAGTAGTATTTATTGAATAGGAATAATCCTAATATTCACAATTGTAGATACACAATGCTTTTGAAAAGTAGGAAATAAATTCGATAAAATTTGAGACAAGGAGAGTGTCAATTGTAAGCTTTTAAAAAATAAAGTCAGTTAAAAATTCATCAACGGTGTAGCAATTTCTCTCCAGAAGTGACTCATGACTTGAAACTCTTTATATTCATCTTAATCTGTTGTAAAGTTTAGGCCCTATGTGCACTTATCGTGGTAAACTAAAAATTTTGCCCTACAGGCGTAGACCTGTATAAAGATGTCCATTACATTATCTTTTCAAATCCCAGGATATATCGATAATAAACTGTGTATAAATAATGTGTGTTTTATTTTGTAATGCTCTCTGGAGGAAATGATCGCAAATAGCACTATCTCTTTGTGTGAATACCAAGAAATCTTTCTAAACCTACTGAATAAATTGAAATTCTTCATTAATTCTCAAATTAGTAAACTATTATAGTATAGCGCCTGATTGAGAACACATAACTGCTTGTTACTTATATTTCTCATATTAATTTCATAATGTACCTTTTTTTTTGCGGCATCAACTGCTAGGTTATAAGACAATGTACCTTATTATTTACATTCGTAATATTGCATTCAGCTGAGTAAGAGTTTTCATTGTTCCAGTTGAGTTCACTAACTCTAGACGCTATATTCGTTTTTTGACCAATGAAATAGATACATTTGAGCATCATGCTCACGTCACTGTTCTCATGATGCAACCCGTTTAAATAAACGTGAATAAGGTTTTCCAAGGGATTTCAGTATAGAAAATTCCATAGACATATAACATTTGTGACATATCATTTCAAGTATTCAGAAATAACCTTAGGATATATACTCGTGTCACTCCCAAAGCACTTCCTTGATAAATTCGTATGCTCCAGCTAGGCCAACACATAGTTGAGATTTGTATATTGCGGATGAGCTCTATTAACTGAAATTACAACTAGAAAAGTTCTAAAAAAGCAAATATTGAAGATTGAGATTATAGTTGATTCAGTCAAGGGTTTAACAAATGTGTATTTCTTAATGATTTATTTCATTTTTTCAAGGTATCATCATATGAGCAACGGTACCATAACTTTTGCGACAACTGGTGGAAAATTCGATCTGGATGTCACCACCTTTCAAATGGCCGTTCTTTTTGCTTGGAATCAAAGACAGCATGATAAAATAAGTTATGAGAATCTCAGATTAGCCACTGAGTTACCGGACGGAGAGTTGAGGCGAACGTTATGGTCTTTGGTGGCATTTCCAAAGTTGAAAAGACAGCTGTTGCTCTTTTCTCCTAGTGCTAATGCTCCCAAGGATTTTACCGAACATACAATGTTTTGGGTAAACCAGGATTTTGCCTTAATCAAGAATGGAAAACCCCAAAAAAGGGGAAAGGTATATGTCCTCCTATGGTCCTTCTTATTTCATTAATTAATTTTATTTCAAGGTAAATTTGATAGGTCGTCTACAGCTAAGTACTGAACGATCCCAATTGGAAGATAACCAATCTATAGTACAATTAAGAATACTCAGGACCCAAGAAGCAATTATAAAAATATTGAAGATGCGCAAGAGAATTTCCAATGTAGCATTGCAAACTGAACTGGTGGATATTCTGAAAAATATGTTTCTGCCTTCCAAGAAGATGATCAAGGAACAGATAGAGTGGCTTATTGAACACAAATACATGAGGAGAGATGATGATGATATTAATACTTTTATTTATATGGCATAAGTTGTTGATAATATTGATTAAAACATTTGTTATAGAGATGTTTTCTTATTTCATTTAATATCAAAAACTGGTTAGGTAAATAAGGAAAAGAAGATAAAAAATATTTTTCACAAACTTCCAGTTGAAACGATGAAGGAACGCGCAGACGTCATTAATTGTTCATCCGATATAAGTTCATGAACTAACACAAACTAATGAAAGCGAAATGATATAAGCTACTGCTCCAATCAAATCCAAATATGCCTATTTGTCAGAGATAGAATCCTATTGGCAAAACTTCTTATGTAAAATGAACAATAACTGTAGATAAATATAAACATAATCATATATAAATGAATATATACAAACACAAAGCAAACATACACAATGTATCATGTCTGTAATATTCTTCCAGATCATAATAGGCCTTTTTTAGTAGTGGCAGCAACAACCCTTGCTAGTGATCGCACATTGAAAGGTAAGACCTCGTTAATTCTTAGCTCGCCCAAGTTTCTACTTTCGAGAATTGTCGCTCCTAGGGGGCGACAGTTGGTTAACAGGATAACATTTTTTCAAACAGAATTCTTCAAAGGAATTTCTGAAAATGTCAAGATATTTTATTTCTTTTAAAGAATTAATTGAATGATTTTCATTTTCTTGGTCTCATGAACTATAGAATACTTTCCTGTTTCAGATTTCGGTATTGGTAAAGGTAAATTGTTTGCTTGGCGCGTTTGGTGTATTTCAATACTTCCATTTCCAATTTTTTTTTCATAATACTAACAGTTTCCAGAATTAATATAGTTTTTATAGTCAAGATTCGTAAATCAACAAAAATTTGTTTACAGAGATCATTCAATTCGGCATTGCCTGAAAATTTAACCTTTTTTTGTATAACAAGTCGAGAGTTCATTAAATGTTTCCTAAAATATGCCCAAAAAGCAATTCCATATCTCTAGAGATCTTTTGCAATGATCTTCATAGCATAACAATCTGACGATATTGACATCTGGCTATTCAGATTTTCCAGTATGCAGAATATTAGATAAAGGTATTCCCAATTTGTAGCGTAAATTAATACTATTGATATAAAATTCACTTATTGCAAAAGTGCCTACAGTTTGCTGTGAAAACAACTATTTCTGAATCGAAACCTTAATAATTTTTCTATAAACATCACGTATACTGTCAAATAGTGGAAAAATCTAAGAAATTGCTGTCGACTCACGTTTCAGCTTTCTCACTTTGAAGTACAGAGTGCTCACTATTATCCAAAATAATGATTTTACGCATACTTGCAGCTTTGTTTCCTTTTCTGGAACTCAGTCTGATGACTTGAATTGCACATTCTAGGAAAGTATCTAGCTTTGGTTGCTCATTGTACACAATACATATCTTCTGACTCATGCTGGGAATTGCACATTGAATTTGAAAAGGTATACAAAGGTCCTTGTATCAGGGCTGTAGCGAAAAGAAAAACCAGGGGAGGGAATCCAAATTTACCCAATCCCACCAGCAAAATTTCCCAACTTTCGAAAAAATGAAAACCGATGGATTAGTTACTGTAATATATTAATTTTCTTACTTAGCTATCCAAAGATTGGCTGAATGCTTATGCCCGTTATGGTATGCACAAACAAAAATAAATTTTGGTAATTATAAAAATAATAATGGGAATTATTTTACTTTGAACCAAGGTCCTTGGTCTTCCACCATATCCACCATGTATAGGAATATTCAATACAAATAAAAGGAAACAACACTTATTGTGCTTATTGTTTTCTACTATTATTTTTTCCATCTTCACGGCCTGAAATTTCTCAACTTTTCCAAGTTGAAAAAACAGCAAAAAGTTGGGAATTTTGTAAAATTATCACTTCAAAATTTGTGTACAGTTCAGGACTGTTCTCTTACTTGGGAGAAATTAAACTTTTTTTGAAGTTTTCAAACAACTCAGAATTTCAAAGTATGGGATCTTCAAGTTATGCATGTTGGGAAATCCCAACCTTCTCCTGGTTCTTTCACTTTTCTTATTACCTCTCCCTTTCTTTTCTCTCATTTTTATTTTTTTAATTTTCATTCATTTTTTTACTATTATTTTTTTCTATCTTCACGGCCCAAAATTTTCCAACTTTTTCCCAAGTCGAAAAAGCAGGGGGGATGCCTAATGTGCATTCAAGGGTGAATTCACTGATCGGCTCATTGGAAACAAATTTTGTTGTCGTTGGTTTTCAATGAATTTGCATTAAACATTGATGAAAAAACTCACTTGGCTAAAGTAAAATACTCGATTTCAATTGTCAAAATTAATAGTGCTCAATAAATCAATCGAAATATACTTCATTGTATTAAAATTACCTTATTGACAAAGACCACAAAGTAAAAACACAAAAGATACTTAGAAATATAAAACAGAAAACAACAAATTAAAAATTGCTAACTTCACACTGTAAATTTAGTGATTATATGAAATCACACTCACAAAAAACATCTAAATTAAAAAAGAAACACTTTTAACAAATTTCTAATGAACATTTTTGTCTTTAAAAAAATATAGAATATGATAATTCGTTCCAGTTTTGCTAGAGGACATCAAAACCATTAAGTATTCAAGGAACACTTTATTGTGAGATTTTCACTAAACGGTTTTATAAAACTGCAACACGTGTTTCGATATACAATAACTTCTTCAGACGTGTGTATACTAACACATATAGACACATCTGAAGAAGCTATTGTATAGCTTGTAAAACTGTTTAGTGAAAATCTCACAATAAAGTATTTCTTGAATAAGTTATGGATTTTCATCCGCCGATTCCATGACATATAACCATTAACAGTCCCATCAGCAATGTAACAGAATAATTCCGTCTTCAGCTGGATAAATTCTGAAGAGAAAAATATCTGTTCGAACGAGAATTTGAACTCGATATACAATTTTGCTAAAGTAAAATCTCAAACTTATATTCTCATTATTTCCACTAGTATTAACATTATTGATTCTAGTAAAATTAGTTCCAACTGATTTTCTGATATCTCCAGTTGCTTACAGTGTGAAAGTTTCCTTCTCTTAATCAATTATTTGCACTTTTTAGTCATTTCAAATTCATGAAAATGAGTATGTTTGGGAGACTCTCTAGAATGCTGTAGATATAGACTGAAACATTCATAAGAAACTAGAAATTGAAGAGTATAAAATACCACCTACAAGAATTGCCTTTACTCTCGAACTAGAGCTAGTTTCGGTAATTTCATCAGATATCAGCTTGAACGATTTTGTAAATTATTATGAGACCTCAACATAATCTAATAAATTGAATTATTGACATAAAATATCATTGAGACATTGCTAAAAATTTTACCAGTGGTCATTATTATATTAAATGCTGTTTTTGTAGTTTCTCTCTCCTATACTTTGCGAAAATGATTGTAAAATGTACCATTAATATTCAAGGAAGCTAAATATGTTCATTTATTTGCATCGTTTGAGTTAAAGAAATTTTAACCTTGCCTAGATCCAAATAACTTTCTCAAAAGTTGCTTGAATAAAATCTTATCTCTGGGGTTCAAAAAAGATATTTTTCATTATAACAACATTATTAAAAAACATTTTATTACAAATACTCAAGTAAACACAGAAAAAAGAAAAGAACATTTCAAGCAGAAGCTTCAATTCCCCAGGGGTCCTTTCTCGCGTTCAACAATGCCACCGAACTTTCACAGAGTTTTTCTAGGATTTTGGCAAGATCTTCTTTTGAATAAACCTTATAAATTCCGTGTTTTTCTGATGCAATAATATCTGCCAACTGGACACACTCTTCATGTTGTTCAGTTTCATACATGACAGCATACAGAATCAAAACTGTTTCAGGAATACAAACCGATCTTAGAAACTCATCATCCTTGGCACCCACTAACCATCCCTCAGGAAACAGAAGAACATTATAAAGTTTTGTTTTAGCACTTTTTGCTAGATGTGTAGCTGTCAATTTCCACCTCTCCAACTCCGCCTTATATTGAGATTGTCTATGTTGATGAGCAACTTTCTCTGGAAACTGAGCACTTTCACGCAGGGGTTCAGGAGGGGATGGTTTACATTTGCTATGTTTAAACCAATCATTGAAAGCTTCATGACCATCTAAGTAGGCTTTGTAACTCAAATATTCTTTGATTACTTGATTTTTGGCATCATCAACTTCACCTCCGCTCAGAATTTTTTCCAAAGAGTCTGTAGGAATTTTATTGAAAGCCATGTGTGCTGCATCAATTTTACCAACGGTTAAAAACTTAAATATCAAAGAATTTATTTGTTTCAATGCTTCTAGTAATTGAAGTTCATAAAAAAGAATCCAATCCAAAGCTGATATTTTGTAGTGATCCAATTCTGTCATTTTATTTTGAATATTTCCAGATTGTTCAAGTTCTTGAGATATATTAATAACATTCTCCACAATTTGTTGGGTTATGGCAAGGACATCTAATCCACTCTCCTCGGCAAATATCAAGGAAGATTTCCTCTCCTCGTTGTTTACAATTTTTTCTAAATATTTTGAATACATGTAAACTTGACTACTACGACTCACTTTACTTACATAGTAAGCCACTAATTGGGTTTCTTGCATTGTCATCAGTCGGTTGATATAAGATTCCAATACTTTTTCAACAACATCTCTGTTATATCCTTGCCCTACCTGATCAAAAAATAAAACAAGATGGGCAAGGAATCTCAAGAACGATGTTGATAAATCTTCCTTTTCTATCCATTCTTCTATTTTCCCAAGCAATACTGGTATTTCATCCAAGATTATGTATTTCTGAATGATATGGTCAGGTCTTTTAGCCTCATTTCTGACTGTGGCATTCTTAGATGCCTCCAAACTAGAGAAGACATCATTAAGGGACATCCTTTGAGACCAGTATTCATCAGGTAAATCCAAATATTTGCTATTTCTTATAACACAATCTCTAACTTCAGATTCTACTCGTACATCAACTAGAGTTTTCATATATGCCCACAAACTATCCTCCCATGATTGACACACAGGAAGAAGACCATTAAGATATCCACAAAACGTCGCTACTGCAGCCCTTTCATATAGATTGAGATAGTCCTGTTTGCAATATTTAATTGCCACATTCTTCCAAATGTCCCTGTTGCTGTTCCCTTCAATATCCTTCACCTCGTTTGAGTCCATTTCTTCATAACCATCATCAACGTCAGAACTAGATTCATTTTCAAACTGGTCTTTTTGATTGGGATCATGGAAAAGTCTCCAGCCTTCTAGCAATGCTGCTTTCCAGGAGTGTCCAGACTGCCTACAGAGTTTGAGGGCCTCCTCAAGTTTTCCACTTCTGATCTCAGAAAAAACTTTCTTGCTCAGTCTCTTGTCATCCTCTGCATCCAAATTGTGCAAAGGCCTTCTTTCGTGGTTTGGTGCATCGGGGTCCATGTTAGTGATCGTCTGTCTAGAACTACCAAAAGCAATGGTCTCCGCTGACTGGAGTTGATGCAGAGTGTTTTCCCATCCCACGGTATTGTCTGAATAAAAGATTACTTCTTCATTTCTCTCTGTTGAGTTGCGTTCCAGCCAGTCAATTATGAGCTGACTTTCCCTAACCAAATTGTCCCATTTGAATAAATTCTGGACGCAGAGTTTTTCTGAGCGACCCAAGTATTGCATCATATGTCCATCACCCATCATATTTTGTGCCAACAATCGGTCTTGATACAAAATGAAGAGAAGTCTCCAAGTATTCCTTTCCTGTTCCAGACTTGTTTCCTCTTCTAGTTGTGAAACAGCTATTTTGGATTTCAAACTTTGTATAACATTCAGAGCATCACCACAACATCGAGACAAATCGGTGACAATTTCCAATATATTATGACCTGAATGGGTCTGCAAAACCTCAAAAAACTCCAAGTAAAGCCTATCGATTGTAGTTTTCCAAGGGGTATTATTCGCTTGCAGTACATTCCCCGTAACAGACTGATCACGAAGAATATTAGACAGTTTTGGGGTGGCTTCTTCCATAAAGGACTTTCTCATTACATGATCTTCAAAGGGTGGGCAAATAACTTCCGCATCTGGGGCTCTTTGGAAACTGCTTTTAAATAATCCTCTACCTGACAAAGACAGAGCATCCTCTAGGAGTCGTACAGATCTTTCAAGATCGTTATCCATCACGCAGGGGTTCAGGAGGGGATGGTTTACATTTTTTAAAAACCCAAAGGTCTTCCGAAGAGGAGGCGACCCAATAAATATATATGTGTAAAACATCAAAAGGTCTCATGAGCAGGAGGCGACAATAAAAAGGCATACTGTTTTTATTATAAAAAAGTTCTACAAAAAAAGGGTGGCAGCATTGCTTCGAGCAAGACTGCGCCCCCTGACGAAGCTTCTGTCAATTTTGAAAGGAAGAGCCTGGACAAATGCGCCCGAGTGGGAAGCAACGTCCAACAAATTTAGAGAGAGAGAGTATGTATCTCTGTTGTTGAAACATTCTCATCGTCATATTTTTTCAGCGTTGAATGACTGAAAAACGTTGAACTTGAAGATGTTAATGGCATTTGACAAACATGATAAGCAATATGCATAGAAATACCAAGGTGTAATCATTTGAGCCCGCCTCCCTATAAATATTTTGACGAAAACACTCTATCTACGGCACTCTTGATTCTTCATAAAATAAAGAGATTTAGCGTACTTCTTCATTCTATTCACAGAGGTGCACTACAAGTGCACACTATTGTTCACATTTGAAACGTCATTTATCCATCTATCAACATGTCAACCAAGTTGGGTCGAGACGAGACTTTTTGACAAAATAAAAGCAAATCGGTTCAAACACCAGGGTTTATATGCATCTTTATGATTAGTATTGAAGCCAGTGAAGGGTTACATCAGGGCCGCAAAGACCAAGAAGGTTCCGGGGGTCGACTCAATAACAAACGACTCAAACAAACGTCTTCCATGGGTCGAGAGCTCGGCGTCGTCTATATGCAACATGCAACGTGCATTGGACGACGTCGAGCGCTGGTTCCTCGATTGGAAGATCCGAGTGAACCCGAACAAGATCAGGTGATAACCATGGAAGATTGTTATCTTCTCCGGCCAGAAAAGTGAGAATCTCTGGAAGGGAGATTGACTGGCAAGCGCGGGTAAAGTACCTCGGCATTCTAATAGACCGTAGTTCACTTGGAAACCGCACATTATATGCGTTAAATCAAAGATCGAGGGTCGTATAGCTAGTCTGTACCCTCTGATCAACAGAAAATAAAAAATGAGTTTCAAGAACAAAATAATCATCTACAATACGATGTTCAAACCTGTCATCATGTATGCTTCTGGCGTCTGTGAACAAGCGGCGACGTATAATTATCTCCTTTCTGGAGATATTGCAAAATAAGTTGATGAGGATGATCGTGAATGCTCCTTGGTTCGTGCGGAATGAAGCCATCCGCAAAGATTTGCGGCTGCCTTCCATTCGGCAGTCCATTCAGTCGAGGAATCGGCGAGTTTTTGATAGCGCGGAAACTCATGAAAATCCGTTAGTTAGGGAAGCTATAGATTATGCTGTAGACGTCCCCTCACGATACAGAAGGCCCCAACACTCTGTCGAATGAGGCCCTCATGTCCCCCTTCAAAGGACGAATAGATTTTTCATCCATCCCACCCCAGCCAGGTAGGGGTACCCCGTGAAGGGCGGTACTGATGTCTAAGGACTTCATACCGCCAATATCCCCTCAATCATGAACTCATTTGTCCTTCTTCGACAAAAATCAGCCAACTCCCGTAATTCAATTCAAAATGATGTTATATGATAACGTCTTTATTAGCATCTGGTTTTAATCTTTGAATCGTTTCCACCATTTTCCACTTAAAGTTGAGATAATATATGGCTATTACTTAAATTAGTGCGTCTTTGACCATCTTTCTCTTTTTTTAGTTGACATTTAGGCGGGAAGAAGTGACTTAATATATTCCATCCTTTTCCAATATTGCTGTGCTCAATATTTTCTTTCTAAAAGCCACTCCGATAGTTGTAACGTCTATGGATTTAAGGACCGAACAAACCTAAATAGGTTAGAATAAGTTGAGAAGTTTTGTTTCTTAAGAGACGCTCTTCTATATTCCATATAAGTTTCTACAAAATGAATAGGCCAATAATCGAGCAAGTTGGAAATTTCTTTCAATTTTTAGTTCAACAAAGCAAAGAATACAAATGAACTTCCTCCAGTTCTGAAGAATGTGATGACCAAGGAAGATTTTGAGAAATCAAGGCAATATTCCCTTGCAAAATTGAGATTTGGATTTGTAAAAGATGCTCAGAACATATTGGTGACTTCTGCTGTTATATATTATGGTGTTTTAGCACACATTTGGAACTATTCATATTCAATCAACCCTGTACCTGGGGAAGTTAGTACCAGCTGTATATGGTTATTTTTAGTATCTCTTGCTTCAACAATTGTTGATCTTCCTTTGACGATTTACTATACATTTGTATTGGAAGACAAATTTGGGTTCAACAAACAGACAGCGGGATTTTTTGCTTGGGACAAAATAAAGGCATTTCTTGTCAGTCAATTTATAACTATTATGATATCATCATTGGTGATTGTCATAATCAAAAGTGGAGGACCGTATTTTTTCATCTGGCTGTGGCTAGTGGTATGCATTATATCTATGATACTACTGACAATATATCCTGCTGTTATTGCCCCACTGTTTGATAAGTATACACCATTACCAGAAGGAGAACTACGTACTGAAATTGAAAATTTAGCTTCTCAACTGAAATTTCCTCTAACACAGTTGTATGTAGTAGAAGGATCAAAACGATCTTCTCATAGTAATGCTTACTTCTATGGGCTGTTCAAGTCAAAACGCATTGTCCTATTCGACACACTCTTGGCAAAAGATGATGGTAGCGGATGTCAAAATGATGAAATCTTAGCAGTTTTGTCTCATGAATTAGGACATTGGAGTCACAATCATATAATCAAAAATCTCATATTGATGCAAGTGAATTTATTCTTACTATTTGCTGGATTTTCTGTAATGTTTAAATATCCTCCCCTGTACCGAGCTCTAGGTTTCTATACCGTTCAACCTGTGTTAGTAGGTCTTTTTGTGGTGCTACAATATGTTATGATGCCTTATAACACTTTACTCACTTTTCTTATGATTTGTTTGTCCCGAAAGTTTGAATTTCAAGCTGACGATTTTGCTGTGAATTTAGGAAAAGCAAAACCCCTGGAAAGAGCTCTGCTACAGTTGAATAAGGATAACTTAGGTTTTCCAATCAATGATGATATGTATTCAGCTTGGCATCATTCCCATCCACCATTGCTGGAAAGAATTTCAGTATTGCAAGAAAGTGCTAGGAAGTTAAACTGATGTAAGACTGTTCCTATTATAATTTCATTATTTTTATTAAATTTACAAAAAAATGTATTTGTTAGGACTATATTCAATCATTATTTTGACTTATGAAATCAACCTATTTGTATATCGCACATGATGAAAATGTAGAAATATACAATTTTGAAAAAACTTTTATTTTTCATTGATATGATCTCCATAGGTCCCAGAATGAAGGACATCAAACGTTCAACATTTATTATAAGAAACTCTAGTACTCTGTGGCCCAGCCCAAATATTCAATATTGTAGTATTCTTTTTCAGACATGTAAAGAACATAATGACTAGTAAATCTAAAAGGTACTGTTCAGTGAGCCAGTCTGGTAACTATGTGTGAGAGAATGTGTCTATGAACAGGTCCCCAAGATTCAAAACTAGCAAAAAAATTATACTCATAGTCTCTAAATAATAAAAACCATGACCGAAATTTGAATTGAGTAGAGTGGATAATTGTTTGTGGTTACATTACAGAGAAATAACGTTTCATGATCTCGATGGCAACTTACAAAAAGTTTCAAAGTTATAAAAATAATTAAATTCACGTAAAAGTGTCACTTTTTCAAAACACGAACTAAAGTGAAAGTCAGATGAAATGAACTTTCTCAGACACAGATTCTTGTTCAGTCTTATTGTTCCAGACTGCATCTAGACAATTTGAATACTACACAATTAGATACTGTTTAAAAAACAACTTGAAAAGAAAATGTCTCCAAAGTTCCACATATAAGAAAAGAAATAATATTTTGATGGAACTCGAATGATTTTTCAATCATTTTACAATAACGAAAAGGAATGAAGTAAAACTAGAAACATCCAGAAAAAATTAGAAGCAAGGGAAAACAAAATTCTGATAAAAAGTATCTTAAAATTTTAGCATCTAACAGAAACCAAAGTAGATTAATCACAAATGTGTTCTTAAACTTTCAAATGACAATTTATAAATGTAATTGGTAATTATACAATTTGTATAAGAAATGCTAAATTTCAATTTTGTATGATACTTTTTTAATACTTTGTCATAGTACCTAAAAAAAATCAAGCCTAGAGATATATTGTTTTAATATTCAAAAGTTACTAACAGTGGCTATATATTTTCTGTTACTTAGTCCAATCTCAGATTTCGCTTCTCATCGTCCTAACATCCACCTTGAAGGTATTTCTCATTTGCGTTATGGATGAGACCATCAGAAATGTCATTTTACATACACTTATGCAAGTCCGCACAAAATGACACATTGATTAGGCAGCTATCACATGAGTTACCTATTTCTCAAAATTCTGGCATTATGAGCGCTCCCACGATATCCAACAAAGACATCTCAGTTGAAGGAAACTGTTCTCTTTGTGTTGGAAATAAATTTGTAGAACTGTATTTGTCATTTTTCAAGATTATTAACTTGCAGCGTGTTGGAAAAACCGTCATCAAAGGATTTCAGAAATTGAAAATTTATTATTTTACTCAGGAAGCTTCAAAGTAGAAATATCGATTGTTTCAAATATGATTAATGAAATGAAAAGGTAGATATGTACATATTTGCAATATTCTTCAATTAGCGGATGTTTTCGCGAATTAAAAAAAAAACCTTTATTTCAGATATTTACTTGAATAAGTACCTACATAGACGAAAAGGAATGTTAAATGAGTTAGTTGACTTGAATAGAAAACCTAATAATAAAACACAAAAAAGTACCGAAATTTGTAGTAAACAAGAAGGAAACCAGTTGTGTTCTACGTTTTCAAAACTATTTTATTGGTTAAAGTGGGCAATGGGAAAGCAGAGAGTGAAACTACATCTTATTTCAACGTTTTTAATTTCTAAAGTTCGTTACGAAACATCTGCCGAAGGAAAAAGACGAGAATTGTAGATGTGGGTACACTTTTTAAAGATCTAATCGAGAAAAATTATATCTAGCTCTACTTGATAGAACACAAATTGTAAGAACAACAATAGGGTTACATCAGAAGCACCACAGGGATCACATCTCGGCCTATTATTATTATTTAATTTGTATGCTAATGACTTATAAAAACGTAATATAATACTGTGGTTTTCTGTCATTTGCAAATAGTATTAAACTCTACAAGGTTATTTAATTCTGATGACTGCAGAAAACTTCAGATGTGTCTTGATTCGACTGGTGTAATAACAATGGAATGGCTTTGAATATGAAAAAATGTTATTGCATGGTATGCTGAGGCTCATAGCCTCGTTGTTACCTTTGATAGATCTCTTACCTTCATTCCTTATTGTGAATTCTATAATTAGTAGTAGTAGTTTCATTAGTAGGAATTCTTTTAACCTGAATATAAATTTGTTGAAAACAGTATATCTTGCCTGTTAGATCGATTCTAGACTATACATCATCTCTATTGTCTCCTTGTTATTCTGTACATGTAAGAAAAATTTCACCCAGAATCAATTTTTACACACACACAAATTGGGATTTGTGTGGAGTACCTACTCACGAATATACTACAATATTAACTATTTTAAATCTTGTCACTTTGGAGAAACAGGACTTTAAAAAGTTATTTCTGCATAAAATATTGTCAGGCGATCTAAACTGTTCAGATATGTTATACCATACGTTTTTGACGATCTGTATATGCTTTTTTAATGTTTTCCTGGGAGCTTCCTGAGTTCCCTGCAAGATTTGAACGTATTTTGACGTTTCTAGGATTATTTTAGCATTTCCTGGCTCCTGAAAGTGTGGTTGGCTCAACATCCATTCCAACTCGTCACCATACTTGTTTATTGCAACAGCATGTGACGCTGTTGATAAAACTATAAGAAGCTTGCTGTCAAGGAAGTAAAATTATCTTCAGCAGATCACTCTCCAGAATTAACCCAAAATTTTTGTTGTCTTCTTGTAGCAAATTTACTCTCTATTCACATGTTTAATTCACGTCAAGTTATTGTTTTATCATCCATTATCAAATGAAATGAAAATAAGATTCTTCTGGATATTGATGTTCTTATGCTCGAATTGTAAGCTCTGTTTTAACATTTCCCATTTAGCTGTCAGGTACTTGTCAAGCTGCAGCATAAGGCATGTTTAAACCTACAAGAGTTTGTTATCAATGTGAACCCATCCTTATTTATGTCATGGTGGCTTTTAAGTTCAGACGTTCTCAGACCTAAGTCATATGCTCCAAATTATTTAATAAATTGATTGATGTAGCCATTACTTATTGTAATTTGGGAATAAAGTTCGATAGTAATTTTCATGTGACAGTTTTCAACAACTCATTCCATAACAACAGACGAAATATAAAATATATATAACAAATGAAGGAGTCCCGGACTAAAGGAGATCATCATAAAAAGTGAGAAATAAAACTTTCTATGTTTTTGTCGTTAAACAACCCTATATGAACGACAATCTTCTCAGGAGTCTAAACTTGTGCGACCTAGGGATCAACGAAGTATTGCCTGTTAACTTACAATTTCTAACACGGATGATACGATACGCAGTGAACACTGATCGTTCGAGAGTTGGGTTCCAACTGACGTTGAATAAATGATTAGAACGAACCACTCGCCCTAATCGACCTAAAAAGTATTAATCCATCTCAGATGTTCAATCTTCCATTTTCAGCTAAGCACAATACATGTCTATCTATAATTTCTGGTCGAAATTCAATTGAAGTTTATTTTGTAACACAACCAATAAACTCTTACGGTCCTATCCTTCATGTCATGTCATTTTTCTTACTAAAACGTTCAGTTTTTTTGCTAAAAATTCACGTGTCATTTCCTCATCCACAAGGTTAAGCTTGATGCTTTTACCCATGAAATTTCCTTTTCCGCTCTTGTGTCTAAATTCCATTATCAACCGTATAACTGAACTAGGTTAGTCAAAAAAGAATTTTTCCTGTTTTGCAGGTCATCAAATTTCTGCCTAATTGAATATGTCGACTCAGTGTGTGCGTTTAGTTTTGAATTGAAACAAAACAATATTCGATTTTTATATTTTTTGTGGATAAGACACATTGTTTCCGAAATAAAAATACATACAATCAGAATTTTTTGCTTCACAAATAAAGTGTGGCATGAATCTCTGTAGCTAGTCTAGCTAGCTAAGCTAGTGTTCAATCCTTTTGAAGTAATACATATTTATAGCATGTTTTATTATTTTTCTATATATATTTCTATACTCATTCGAATGGGAAATGCACAATTGAAATTCACAAAAAGTAATTTATGGAATGCACTCAGGGGGATCTTCTAAATGTAGCACGTTGTTCCAGTCAGACTCTTCACAAAGTTGGGCAAACTTATTACAGTTATGTTTACTGAAAAGTCTTCCTCGTCGTAAGCACTTTTTGTTGACGTTTCTCTCGAAGAATAAATTACACAAAATGGCTTCATGGTCTGATAAACCAGAATTTACAACCATACATTCAACTGCATTAATATTTGTACATAAATAATCAATGGCCCCTTCTAGTGTTGACACTATCATGCTTGAGGATCTGTATCATTTTGAGAATTTGTTTCATAATAACCTCAAGAGACTTTCAAGGCAAAATAATTGAATTTTCGTTTCATATTTTTGATAAATTACAAATGTATTTGATAATATTGCTATGTAGGTAAATAATATGCAAAAAATAGGCAATTTTGGACACAAAATATGTAATTGATTATGGTCTTTGTTAATAGCTACTCCAAGAATTGAATACCTCCAAATTATTTGTCACAGTTTCACCTATTTTAAAAAATAAATAAATTAAATTACAGTTAAGAGATATACTGGGTCTTTATTAGGACCAAGTATATGTTTTATCTTCACTTGTATACTTCAAACACTCGACATTGGTCACATAGTTTTGATCAGGTGCGCAAAAGTGTTTCAAAACTTTAGGCAACAGTCCGCAGTCCGAAAGGTTTTCTTTACCGAATACCATCGATCCTTTATTCACAATGTCAGATTTTCTAACACTATTTTGAAGTTTACTGAAACACTCTGTACTCTTGATATTACTGAAAGTTGCTGTCAAACTGGAGTCCGGGCAGTTGATAGCAAACAAGTTGTGTATAGTACTTGGTAAGATAGGTCCAGATAGTTCAATGGAGTAATAATCAGCTTCATCTAGATGAACTTTGTTTTCGCGCACCTTTAATGAATTTAACGAGGCACCATGGAAGGCTACTGGGGCTAGAAGAGTAGGAGGTATTCCCGCAAGTGGTCCAGTAGTTGCTATGGCACTTTTACAGTTTATGAGAAAATTGTACAAAGCGTGCACTTCCACCCCTTCGACCATAATCAAACTCTGTTCACTATTGTCCACTTCACATTCTGCTTTGTGAATAATTTTCTCCTAGAAAAAAAATTTAAGGTATCTTGAAAGAACATTTTCATAGGGAACCAAAATTAAATTTGCATTTTAATTATCTCACAACCATCAGCTATGTCGATGTTCTCTTTTGTTAGGTCATTGACATGCTTATTAATAACTCATAACAGGCAGACCAGACTATATTTTCGAATACAAGGTAAAATTTCACCAGGCAAAAAATGTATATTTTCAAATAAAACATTATTTCCATCAAGTTTTGAGCAACAACAACGATTGTAATGAATGAAGTAGATAATATTGAAATATAAATTATGTTGGTCATACTAGATCATCAATTGATACTTTTTTCAAGCATATGTCCCAAATCTGATATTTGACATTAGAGAATCCTGATACTAATTGTTAATTGTTCAAATCTGCACAAGATTCCTACAGGAGTTATTGAAGGAGGACTGTTATTTAGTTTTACCTAGATTTGATATATGATTACTACAAATTTGCAGGGAAAATAATGAGTGGGACTTCAACAGTTTTACAGAATAATTTTCTAGAAAATTCATTTTGAATTCTCCTTTTGATGATTCCGAATCCTATTTAATATATGAATACTACAAATTTGCAGGGAAAATAATGAGTGGGACTTCAACAGTTTTACAGAATAATTTTCTAGACTATTCATTTTGAATTCTCCTTTTTTAGTTGTTTCAGGGATTTCAAATCATTTTATATAGTAGACAATGGAAGTCCGAACTAGTGAAATTCATCATGAAACATTGTCAATCACCTTCAAACAAAGAAACATTATTCTATCAATTGTTCCACTCCTCTCATACCCAAGCATTATGAAAGCATAAGATGTGTATAAAACAAGTTAAATGATTTATTTACCTGGGTATAATTGATTTGTTTGATGTCATCATCATTGATTCCCATACTTTTCAACCACGTTTCATCGGGGGCTTCTTCCATTTCTTCATCATATTCTTCTTTAACTGAATCAAGTGTTTCATATCCTTGATCAGATATCCTTTTTTTCTTCAACGGCATGGTGAATTCTATGTCCTCCTGCCTCAACATATGACGGAAACCTCTAGTTGTAGGAGAAATAACTGCATGAACATCAGTAAACCCACAAATACCACCTGCCCTAAACAGAACTGTAAAGTTATTGGCACATGCATAAAAATATGGACACTGCCTTGTTCTGATCAGTTGGAAAAGTGAACGTAAACCATCAGACCATGCCTGTTGTAAACTATCTTTCATTGTGGAATTCACCATTGAAGCTGTCAGTTGTGATTTTGCTGCAGAACGTGGAAACAGTGTTAACCATGGCAAGGAAGGCTGTTGCCAGTATAAACAACACTGATGGAACTTTGCATTTGGAGAAGTATCTAAAGTTGTTTCGGTATTTTTATCCAGGCACCTTGTGAAGGCAGTCACACCACTTGCTTCCTCACTAATTTTCAGTTTTTGGTTGAAAGGAAAAGGCTTGGCAGAAAGCAGTCTAACTTTATTTGTCAGCGACCAGTCAATTGGCAACCAACTTTTCCCTTGTGCCTTCACAACTTCAACTACTTCATTAGTGTTCAATTTGCTCAAAATATTATCAAAAGATGTAATAGGAGCCTTGGGTGGATCCGGAACACTTTGATGGAGAAGTTTGAATAATGTTTGATCTGTAGATTCATCAAAAGAAACATTTGACTCATTTCTACTTTTCTTTGGATCACTTGTTCTTAAAAAAGGATTTTTTCTTTTCTTGGCAGTGAAAATGTCTTCGAAAGGGGAAGATATATTCTCAGATTTAGTTTTGCTTAGAGTGTTGCCCTTAATTCTTGCTTGAAGAGCCTTTTTCTTTTGCTTCAGCTTATGTAATTTCATTACCTGCGAAGGATGGCTCCATTCTAATGGTATACTTTTTTCGGGACTTCCAGCCATCAATGAAAACAGTAGATTTTGAATATGAAAACAATGATCCTAACCACATAAATAACGACATTTAAGAAATTACACCACAGAATAATAAGTATTCTGTGGTTATACAGGGATTACTCTTCTTCTTTTGTTTAGTGGCCTCAGCTTCCATAAGATGGCGCTATAATAACCAGCTCTCCTCGCGTTTCTTAATATACCACAAATGAATTGCTGGAATCAACTTTCCCATAAAAACAAGCCTAATTAAGTAATGGCGCTGTGTTTGGACTCTAGTTTTCTAGTTATCTTGAAGGGAAAATTGTAGTGAAAAGCAGAGGCCAGTGTCAATAGCAGTCGATGTTGAAGCTTGGCTTCGCATAGAAAAAAGAGTATTGATAAAAAAGAATATATTGTTGCTATATTTCTAGATTTCAAGCGTGCCTTTGGAACAATTAATAGGAAAACTTCAATCGATGAACTGAAGTATTATGGTGTAACTGGAAAAGCTTTAAACTGGTTAGATAGTTATCTTGAGCAAAGAAGTCAAAGGACTAAAATTTGTGATGTAATGTCAGATCAAATTATAAATGACATAGGTGTACCACAAGGTAGTGTTTTGGGACCACTGCTATTCATTATTTATATAAATGATATCAACTATATACCTGGTTCACACCATATTAATTTATTTGCTGATGATACCCTTGTATATACGGAAAACTGTAATTTAAAAAAAGCTGTACAAAATATCAATATATCTTCAAAGAATATTGAATTATATCTACAAGTGAATAAACTCAAATTGAATATCAATAAATTTAAGGCAATGTTTCTTACAACAAATTCGAATCAAAGAAAGATTGATACTAACGACGTTAATATCAGCATATTCAATAATCAACTCACAATTGTAAATGAAATTAAGTACCTAGGATTCATTTTAGACCATCAATTGAATTTGAATAAGCATGCCGAATATACCATTAGAAAGATATGTTAGAAAATATATTTTTTCTCCAGAATTTCAAAATCTTTATCAACCTTTGCTAGACTAACATGTTACAACTGCATAAGGCCACACTTTGACTACTGTGCCACACTGATGATGTATCTATTCAACCAAAATCAAATGGGACAGTTACAGAAACTACAAAACCGAGGTATGAGAATCATTTTGAGATGCAACCAGTATACTCCTATTGAATCTATGTTAAATACTTTACAGTGGCAGCCGGTACATAAAAGACTGTATTATTTGAGAATGATTTTTATTTTCAAAATTTTGAGTGGGATACAACCAGCCTATCTTAGCAGATATTTCATAACACAAGAACATGTAATACACTTTATAGATCCCGAACAAACTATAAGAGTGGAATGAATTCATTGTTCTTTAAAGGTCTAGATAGTTACAATAACTTACCTGATGAAATAAAACATGTAAATTCCTTAAAAGTATCTTTTTGGCTCTAGTAGAGCCAAGAATCAGACAAAGCTGTAACCCCCCCGAATTAAGCTGGCTAAATGCGCCGTACGGAAGCAAAGGCTAAGAAAACCAAGAGAGAAAAGAGAAACGAATGATATTGAAAATTATGTAACTCTTACTTACGTTTGATTGCTCAATATAACTATTATTTTCAGCCATACATGTTACCTTTTGATTTTGATTGTTGTTTCATAGATTTCAAATCATATTAGTATTATGTATTAGACAATGAAAGTCCGAACCAGTAAAATTCATCATGAAACATTGTCAACCACTTTCGAACAAGATTTGAATTATTGTTCCCCGTTATTGAACTATGACTAAAAGTAAGTATAACGATGGCACATGTAAAAATTGTTATTCATCATTCTCCAGTCTTATGAGTTATTGTTAGATAGGTAAATACTTGTATTAGGTAATGAATTTATCATGTAGAAATTTGACTGGTAGTAATATTTTTAAAGCTTAATATTACTATGAGAGCACGACACAGAATTTGTAAAAACAGTATTGTGACGCCTGGAGATGCTATCGTAGAGCGAAACACGTGTCGTGGTTTTGTTAACTCTCAAGTGGAATTCTCACATTAGTGTTTCTCGAATACATGAAGATTTGATTTTTTCTATTGGCTGTAATGGATTGAATCAACAGCCATATACAGGTATAAAGAAAAACGAGAAAGTTAACTTTCCTAATATCCCAAATCTTTCTAATAAAATCCGTTAAAATCCCAGATACTTCTTAATCAAAAATCAACCACCTGTGAGCACAAACAATTACAGACTGTTATTATTAAAAAAATAAACATTTTTTTTTAAACAATATGAAGATGTAGTTTGCGTTAAGCAAGACACACTACGCCTACGTCAGTACGTCCCCGGACGAAGCTGCAACGATAAGAAGAAAAACGACGGCAACGGCAACACAATCAACTGCCAACTAGTCAACTGTCAGTTTCACATTGCCGTTTACCGCCTTTCTGATTTTGTCTCAAGCTCAAAACTCTCAGGTGCAAAACATGGCGTCTACAGATGTTGCTGGCGTGACTACGGGTCAACCAAATTTACACAAACAGGATTTGTCGAAACTGGTAAGTGGAAATATTGAATACCTCAGTGGAAACTTTGCAATAACTATTTTGGATTATTTTTGACTTCTTTACCATTCATAACCTTACTTTCATCATTTTTGACATCTATCTGCTAAGGTTGAAACATTTTGGATACACATTGAATAATTTTCACTTTGTAGGATGTAACGAAACTAACAGCCTTATCCCCAGAAGTGATTAGTAGACAAGCTACTATTAATATTGGTACAATTGGACACGTAGCTCACGGAAAATCAACAGTAGTCAAAGCCATTTCTGGAGTTCAAACAGTCCGATTTAAGAATGAATTGGAAAGAAATATTACCATCAAACTGGGTGAGTTAATATTTATGTTTTTCCAGAAAGTAGTGAGGAGCAAGTACAGCAATGTATTAATGTATATCAGATTTCATGACTTGCTCCATCTACCTCACTGTAGTTGAGATACTTTTAGATAGTCGTACTTTACAAGATGATGATTTTTTTAAACTACTTCGTTGAAGGTGTGTTGTTTGTCATATCTAATTGATTATGTTTTAAAAAATCGTTTTAATGGCTCTTGCTGGCTTTTGCAAAATTTTGATTAGGCTCTAGAGTTTTTGTCTGCTGATCACAAATCTGAAGTGGAAAATTTCAAAAATGGATATTTCAGAAACTCACATTCTATAGTAAAAAGTCCTAAAATGAAAACTTTTTCCATAATCACATGCCATGAATCTTTATCTAGTCATCCCTTCCATTTTTTGTGCCTTGTAGTAAATGACACTTTTTTTACAAAAAACGTTTTCATTGGTTTTGTTGATAGTGTTATGAAATCAAACTATAAATGAATGCCACATTGATGAATTTTTGTGGATAACAAAACATAAGGAATGCCGTCTTGTGTTGGAAGTATGTGGAAGGTGCCATTGACATGCTGATAAATAAGAAAGAAACCTTTTAAAAAGTGAAATTTTTAAAATTTGAACATAATTTTCATTTCTTGGCTTGAAATTGCTAACAAATATTTATTTATAAAGACTCCAGTGAAGTGACAATTTCATGTAAAACATGATTCCAAAATAGGGATATTACAGTGAAACAGGTTTTTTTATTCAGTGAAAAAAATTGAATTAGGTGAGACTGGCCTACAGTGTGCAATCCTGAAAAAGAATGTCATTTCAAGAGTTTTTATTAGCAAAAGTGGCTTCCTGAAATTGTTTTTCTTTTCTGGACTGCTAAGTTGACTACAGATTCATGAGCTGCAGAGAAAAATATGTAAATCTAGTTTGAAAAGTTTTCTAAAACTGGCATGAGTCTTTAAAACAAATATTTACCTAGTATGTATTTTGTGTCCCGTTTATTTTTCAAAGGTCATTATCATTTTCACTAACAAATTTTCTCTTTCAGTAGTTTTTGAGTCTTGTGATGAACCTTTTGCGTCGAACTGAAAGTATCTTCTTAATGATATATTTTTTGTCTAATATGTACACAGTTTATCTAAACAGAAATTGTTTGTCGTAGAAAAACTCCAGTTCGATGGAAATGGTTCAATCATCACATGGCCGAAACAACTGAAAGGGAAAAAAGTGAGCTTGAAGAGAGCACTGGAAGATTGTGAAAACTTTGAGGAGGAGCGAAAGGGAATCAAAAGAAAATATGAACCATCAAAAATCAGGAAGTTACGACCTAATAAGGCAAATGCAACGTATAAAAAAGAGTTTGTTGTTGAAAAAATTTTAGCCCAAGAATTTGATGTAAGCACTAAACAGTTGATGTTTTTAGTGAAATGGAAAGGATATTCCATGGTTCATAATACTTGGGAGCCACTAGAGCATTTGACTCATTGTTCATTGCTTTTGACACAGTTTTTAGCAGAATCTCTAGGATCGCAAGTCTTGGATGCACTTTGTGATAAGTTGAATATTTCCAACAAACTGTCTGAACAGAATCTTTTAGACATGTTGAAAATTGATAATCTTGACAACATACCTGATAAGCTTCACCTTCAGGAAAAATTATTAAGAGTGGTGGCCACACCTCCAAAAGAGAGGCATATTCATAAACTGGAGGAAGGAAAAAAAGCAATTTTAATGTATCAATTACTGTTAAAAAGGGAAACACAACTTAAGAAGCTGAAGAGTTGGGAAGAAATGATCAACACTATGGCAAAAGAAGAAGCAGCAATTACTATAGAAAATAAAGTCGATTTGGAATGTCCTCCCGAAGGTTTTACTTACATAAATGAATATGTTGCTACAGAAGGCATTGATATTCCTGTTGAGCCTACTTCAGGATGTGATTGTGAAGAGTGCGGGCCAAAAATAAAAAATTGTTGTGGAAAGCAGCCCCACAATGGTTTCACATTCAAAGCACGCGGTCGAATAAATGTGAATCCTGGAATAGCAGTATATGAGTGCAACAAGAAATGTAAATGTGATGAGAACTGTAGAAACAGGGTAGTACAGAATGGTCGTAAAGTGCCACTTTGTATTTTCAGAACTGCCAATGGCTGCGGCTGGGGAGTAAAGGCAATGAGAAAAATTCATTGCGGAGAATTTGTTTGTGAATACGTAGGAGAAGTTATAACCCATGAGGAGGCTGAAATCAGAGGCCGTACATATGACGAGGAAGGACGGACATATTTGTTTGATTTGGATTATAATTCCAAAGATAATCCCTATACAGTAGATGCGGCTAAATTTGGCAATGTCTCACACTTCATTAATCATTCTTGTGATCCAAATCTCGGAGTGTATGCAGTTTGGATCAATTGTTCAGATCCTAATTTGCCCAAGCTGGCACTTTTTGCCTTGAGAGAAATTGAAAGATATGAAGAGATTACTTTTGACTACATGATGAATATAGATCCGGTGGTGCCAACAACTCCTGAAAAGTCCCGATTTCTTCATACTCCTGATAAAAATCAAGTCATACAAAATGGCAGAAGTATTTGTAAATGTGAAGCTGACTCATGTAGGAGATACTTGTTTTAAATGGCTCTGTTTTGAAATGTATACGTACTTTTGCAAAGAATTTCAAGCTGTAGATTTTTTATAGTTTTTACATAATTTTTCAGACTCAGAAATACTGAATAATTTCTAATATATTACACCAATGAATTTCAGAAATTTATTGAATCTAGACCTATCCCTTGGAATTTATATTTGATTTAATGGATAAATATTCTTTAGAGGTTGCATTGAATTGTACTATTTTAATTTGTTGATATTTTAGATTTTGACTATATTGATGGACTTTAGGTATATTTACAAGACATTTTTATTAATTTGTTAAACTGTACTCAATTTCCAAGTTGTCTCACTGCCCTGTATTTTATAATAGGTTTTGTTTAGAAAATATGTATTCTATGTCAAAAGAAAAATGATTTCACCTTTCTAATTTTGTAAGTGGTAATTCTAACTTTTATACATTCTGCTGGTGGAAAAGTGGCAAACAACTAGACAAGTTGTATTCGACAAAATGTTTTGTCAAAAATAAAAAATATTAATTAATTTAGAGTTTTTTTTAAAATAATGAATTGGTTGAAATCGTAACAGAAACATTGGTGTAATGTAAAGGTGGAAATTAACTGACATTTATGGAGTCTATTCTTGGTCTCATCATCTTCAGTAAAAAAATATATGAATTCAAATTCATAAGTTCATGCTATTCGTAGATGATATCACTTTACTATGATACAGTAAAAATACCGTAGATATACAAAATAGTTTCTTCAGATATCAAGAGTATCAAGAACCATCGCGATGATAATCTTTTATTAACTTTAAATATCACAAAAACTAATTAAATATCTTTTTGGGGCAGTACTGGTAACATTCCAATAACTCTCGATGTTATCAGGAATGAATTGAGCATTAAATACCTTGGTATTATCACAGATAATGACTCGAGATTTGAAGACATCAGAGCACTCACTAAAAAACTTTCTTCAGGTTATTACTCAGTAAAAATAATTTCTGTAGTAAAAACCTTTTACTACTCATTAGACTTAAGATACGGAATTCTAGAGAGTATTTTCTAGAAACTACATGATTTCTGTGTCTGAGCTTCAAAAAAGAGTGATACATTATCTATTCATAATGAAACAAAATTGTTGTTGGACAATATTCTGTGCAATTGAAATTTTGACAGTTCATCTCATTTTCATATTAAAAATAACTTGTTTGATGAAGAAAGCGTGAATAATTTATTTTCGTCTGGTAACTTGTCCACTTGACGGGCTTCAGATTTTAGACTCCCAAATCCACCTTGACGCTAGGTTAGGTCTAAAGTGAGTGGGTCTATTCGACCCTCCACCGCAACCCGCAAGGGTTTATTGTGGCTAACACCTATTCACACTCGACCAAATAAACCCAGTTTCTTAACGAAGCTGATTAGTTTGTATGGTGAGTGGTCTTTCAGGTCAGATAGTAAGAGTACGGCTCTGCTGAACTCTAAAAACCTGATTTGGTCCCAAGCGGAGTAGGCACAAAGTATATGCTCTGCTGTTTCATCATTTTCCAAACACACACTGTCTTCCGACAGTCCGAGTCTCTGCATATGATGATTCAAAAGACAGTGACCTGTAAGAAGACCTGTTAGACACTTACTAAAAGTTCAGTAATTCATAATGGCCCAAAAATATTTAGTCACCTATATAAATTCATAGGAAGAACTACACAATTCAGAAAAGCAAATAGTATGAAGGGTTGTAGTGGATGAAGTTTTCCGTGACAAAATCGAAGACTTTATAGAAGATATAACATTTGCTGAAGAATACCATTGTCCCATGCAAAAATATATCTATCGGGTCATATTTTTCTGCTTATTTTCAAATCTAATTGATATAGGTATTGAAACACAAAATTGAACTGTCAGTGGGAATGGAAATGAAATTAAATTTATCTGTCTAAGCATAAATTTCCATGTGCTTTATAACAACCAATGGCGTATTGGCGCCCTTCTGTATGTTAGCAGTAAATTCGCCCAACTAAGAGTCCTAAAAAACTTCAACTAAAATCCAAAATAGAAAATTACAAATACATAACATAGTATGTTATGACTGCCTTCAAGCAGTACTAAATGAATATTTAACTGTAATTTTCAGAAGCTCGTTTTCCTGTTTTCTATTTTTGAAATTTTTTCTCTATAAGCTTTTTCATCACAGTGGAAATGAAAACTTGAATATCGATTGTTATGCTCACTTTTCTCTATTTGAATGATCTCTCATTTCACCCACTCGTTAAGTTGACACCAAAAATGTGCATTTTCAGTTGTTTGATCTAAAAAAAGAAAAACTACAAAAAAAAAGTAGTGGCGTACTTTTTCTGAATATTATTGGTTGTGGTGCCCTCCGAGATGCCACTGGGCTTTATAATTTTAATCTAGTTAGCGCTTAATAAGCTCCTTGTTATTTCAAACAACTAACAAATTTCAACCAAATCGGTTTAAGAATATGATACTTATTTTATTAATACTGTTTTCTAAATTTCAAAGCTCTGTATCTCAGAAACGAAGCAAGTCCAGACCTCCTCCTCTTCCTGTATTATTCATTTTTAATCTTTTATACACCCGTCTGCCCGGTCTAAGTAATGTAGTCACGAAATCCTAATCATCAATTATGATGTCATTACTTCGAATAATCTACCTCAAAAGTTACTTGTTTTCTTCCTTCAGAAGGTTTTGTCCTTCTTTTTTGTTTGTGGTGTCTATTTCGTGCATGCATTTTGTCTTCTTTTGGCCTGTTTCAAGCAGGCGAGAAGAAATATATTTTTATATTTAATACACTTTATAGGTAACTTTTTTTTTATGATGTTTCTAAGTTATATCGTAAATTTTACTAAATTTTGCTGGCCTGACAGACACAATCTGTATCAGCCACTATCAATACATTCCAAAAAACTAAAATTAATCTTTTCTTGTACAAAGTCTAGACGAGTTTCTATGCATCTTCCATTAGGCTCAAAGAAATCAGATATCTGTTATTCCAGTCTTGTTAGATTTACCATTTTCTAGACTAGGGGTCTCCAAACTTTGAAGCCTTCGGGCCATAATGATTTTTTCAGTTTGTTCCAAGGGCCAATTTCTGCCCTTAACTATATTTCTAGATAAACCATTCACCGATGGAGAAATGATAAAAGAATGCTTGATTGCAGTGGCCGAAGAAATATGCCCCGAAAAGGTCAATTTATTTAAAAGTGTCTCGTGGCTCGGAGGGTGCAAGACATCGCAGAAAATATATCATCTCAACTGACTGACAAAAATGGACATCATGAGTGGTTGTCTCTAGCATTGGATGAGTCAACTGATGTGTCAGATACTGCTCAGGTGTTGATTTTTATTCTTCCACTGGAACAATTTGATAATTTGCATAAATTTGCTCGTGGGTTGTTTTCTGTTTTTGGTACTACTTACTTGTGTGAGAAAACGTTTTCCAAGATGAAGTACACAAAGAATGTTTACAGATCTCAATTAACCGATGAGCATCTTAAATCTCTTTTGATAATTGGTACAAGTAAAATTGATCCACAACTACAAAGTATTGTCGGTGGAAAATCACAATTACATAAATCTCATTAGTGTTTTTGTTTTACTGTGATTCATTTCAATTATTTGTTAGTTATTAATACGCTTAAACTTAGATACTTAAGTCAAGTTTTCTTTGTCATCATTTCTGTTGTTAAGTTTTACCTTGCAAGTAAATAAAACCGAGTAATTATCATTCTGTGTTTTCTTCTTCAACTTATCACAGCAATAGTAACAACAATTAGGTAATCATTGGCTGTCGCCGGCCAGATAGATGACAGTAAATCATTGGCTGTCGCGGGCCGGATTGATGACACTGGCGGGCCGGAATTGGCCCGCGGGCCGTAGTTTGGCGACCCCTGTTCTAGACTCTTAAAAGCATCAAAAAGTTTTAATATGCATAGGAATAAATTTTAACAGGGAAACAAACAAGTACTATTTAGAGTATTTAGACTCCCGGCCATGTCACCCTACAATGTGAATGATCGGTTTATTTTTTCAATTGTTGGAATTATAGTTGAACTAGAAGTGATTCATAGTTCTGGTATTGCATATACTAATTTTCACTAAAATTCAACTTTTATGGGATGTTTTTGGGTTTTCACAAATTATAATTCTATTTAGCTACTGACTGAAATTAAAAATTTTTGTTTAGGTTATGCCAATGCTAAAATTTACCATTGTGACAATCCTAAATGCCCACGACCAGTATGTTTTACCTCTGGAAGTTCTTCCAAAGACGACAACTTTCCCTGTACGCGTCAATCTTGTACCGGCCGTTTCCAACTGGTGAGACACGTCAGCTTCGTTGATTGCCCTGGTCACGACATTCTTATGGCAACCATGCTTAACGGTGCTGCTGTTATGGATGCAGCGCTTTTGCTTATCGCAGGTAAGTTATGATTATCAATTTATGGAAAGGTCATAACATCTTCCATTAGAGTGATGATAATGTCGATATACTTCAAATTGACATTTGTGTTTGTAACTTTTAGTCCGCTATCTTTAGGAGGTAACAATCCCAACTTTAGTAAACAGGGACTTATCAAATGGCCAGAGAGATCACCGGATTTAACTCCGTAGAATTATTTTCGTTTGGGTTGATTAAAAAGCAAAGTCTATTTCAATAGACTCAGAAATGTTGAAGCATTAAACGGAAATATTGATAAAAAAACTGCATAATCACTCGGAAATGGTCAATAATTATAAGAGAACAGTAACAAAAGTCGATGAGAGTATCNTATGTTGCACAATTAATTTTTAATTATAAGAGAACAGTAACAAAAGTCGATGAGAGTATCATCCTATTTAGGTTCTTATTTTGTGATTTGAAGTCTACAAACTTTTAAAGATATAATTGTCAACCCTTTGATAATTGCCTTGTTAGTGCGATAATACTCTGGTTTTGATGAATAATATAAACGTATCATTTATGGTTTATTGACTCTGCACTGACACTCTGTACATATATATTATATATAGCCAAGATACAACATACAGTTTTAATAACAACTTGTTTATGAGTACACATTCAATGACTTCATGCCATTTCAACTGACTGTAAAGTATTATAGCTCCTTGACTATACCAGTATTGAAAAAACTACAACACTGGGACATTCCAGGAATAATCAGCTCAGTTGTGACCTTCGTTTTTTTTTGAATCTGAACCTTTTTCTTGTCTCGTTATCTATGTTTTGTAGTTCCCTACAATTTTTCTATGAGTTTGATATTACATAATTCGATAATCTATATACATTGTGCAAATTCAAGTTTTGGTCTTATGAGCATATTATATTGTTTGAGAATAATTTCCATTGGAAGGTACTCAAATGTTTTTTGAATTGAAAGACTTGTTTTCCACTTTTATATTTGTATATGTGATTCCTATTTCATTTCGTTATATTTATACCTAGGTCTCTAAATAGGTGAATTCTCAGATGCGTTGAAATGGAGTAAAGTGATTGCCATAGATAAAAGTGGAAATAGATCAGAAATGGATAATTAATAGACCCATTAGTCTTCTCAGTATTTTTTCAAAAATTTCAGAAAGATTAATGTATATGAAATTGTATCTGACTCTCATCATGGATTTCGCATTGACAAATCAACAGAATCTGCTACTACTCTTTTTGTTGATTTCATATCTTGAAATATGGATAATAGAGTTACGTTATTCCCTGTGGGTTGACCAATAATTGACTACACTGAATAATCAAACTTAACTTTATTTCACTTTAAATACAACAGGCACTTCAACCAAACTTCAACTATGATTTGAATGTCTATCCCCTTTGATTGTGTCGATACCCTCGTGGCTAGCCTTTAAATATCGTAATCGAATGCCGTAGAAATTTTGCCGAAGTTCCGTCGAAATCGGTAGCATTATTTTCGCTGCTTCTAGAGTGGCAGGGAATCATCGTACATTCGTGCGCTATTAGCTATGTCACCTTTGGTTTATGGTTACCAGTGGCGGCCGGCGTTGTTTCCTTTCGGACATGATTTACAACAATAGGAAGCAAGTGGCAGGAATTTTCTTTGACCTGTCAAATGCTTTCAACTGTATTGATGAAGTGTTTTTGGCTTCCAAACTGTATACTATTGGTATTAGAGGAAATATTCTTGATTGGATCATTTCATTCCAAATAGACAATTCTTTGTAAAATTAGATGTCGTTGAGTCAGATAAATATTCAGTTGATGTTGGAGTAGCGCAAGGTTCGATTCTAGGGCCATTGCTTTTCTTACTATTTCTCAATGACCTTCCAGTAAATGTTGATAGGCACTTTTATCTCATGAATTTTGCTGTTGACACAACATTTGGTATAGCCGAATCATATATATGGAAGATATGATTCTATTGGTTGAACTCGGTATTAGTGAAATGACAAAATAGTGATGCTGAATGCACAGAAAACAAAAATTATATATTTCAAATAGAACAATCTAATCGATAATGAAGTCCTTCATACACATAACTCCAATAAGTTTCTGGGTGTAATGATTGATAAATCACTCTCATGGTCTGAGCATATCGAAAGTTTATCAAAAAACCCTCAAAATCATACTTCACAATTTTGCAATTGAGGTATGAACCTCTTGAGACTATTCTTATCCTAGTTTATTATAAGTTTATATATTCTGCTTTATCATTTCACATCATGTTGTGGGGAAATGTTGCCGAAATAAATAGGATTGATAGATTGATGTTCGACGTGAAGCAACATTATTCTTGAAGGGATATTTTCAAGAGTAAAAAGATTTTGACAGTTTGCTGCATTTACATATATAAATGTTGCTGGAGGAAAAATATATTATAAACTCACTGATCTAATGAAGGCCTGTAATACTCTCGAATCAAAAAGTCACTGAAATATTTTTGCTTGTAAACATAGGATCCCTCAGCACTGGCGGTCGTGTAGCGGCAACAAAAGCCGATTTGTGTAAGATTGCTTTAACCAACCCTGTGTGTACAGAAGTCGGCGAAAAGATAGCTCTGAGTAGAAGAGTTGAGAAGCATTGGCGTCTTATTGGTTGGGGTCATATCCGCGGAGGGGAGACCATCGAACCATCGAATAACTAATAGTATAGAATAGTTTTATTTTTTGTTTTCGTTTCATTAGGTTTTATTTCAAAGGATATACTCTGAAATATAATCAGAATATAAAAATAAATTCATTATGACGAACAAATTGTAAAAAATGTTATTTCAATATCTCCGANGACTTGTTTTCTACTTTTATATTTGTATATGTGATTCCTATTTCATTTCGTTATATTTATACCTAGGTCTCTTAAGTTCAACTTGGTTCAATGGAGATCCATTTAGATATCATTCCATTCCTCTTGTTCTAGGTAATCATTGTGTTAAGGACACAGCCTCCAAAAATGTTTATATAATGTGAAAAAAATTTGACTCAGCTGGACGAAGTTTGAAACTTTGTTCTAAATAGGTGAATTCCCAGATGCGTTGAAATATAACATGCATATTTACATATTTGTTTGTTTACATATTTACTATCAGATCTGCATTAACAGTTCAAATAGTATTTTAACTCTTGTGTTTTTTTTTTATTATGTTCACTTTGAATAATCATCTCAAGTATAAATTGACATGTTCAATACCATGTAGTTGGTCTATGAATGACTAAATTTCATTCCAATTCTGAATGTTCTGAAGACAGTTTTTGTAGGATAACTTGTTTTGATTCAGTTTAATGGATTACCATTAAACAATTCATCACAACGTAATCAATAGTAATTATAGTAGCCTTTTATGAGAAAGACTGATTTTTCAAATTCAATAGTATAATAATATTAACGTCGAGTTTTTCAAACTACACACAGTAATGAAGGTACTTTGTTTCAAGGTAACGAATCCTGTCCCCAGCCTCAAACTAGTGAGCATTTGGCGGCTATAGAAATTATGAAGCTGAAGCATATTATAATTTTGCAAAACAAGATTGATCTTGTGAAAGAAGGGCAGGCCAAAGAGCAGCAAGAACAAATTGTAAAGTTTGTTCAAGGAACTGTTGCTGAAGGAGCACCCATTATACCCATATCGGCTCAGTTGAAATATAATACTGAGGTATGAACTATTACATTTTTCCAAAATCTATTTTTCATTTATAAAAAAAGGAAAAGGTTTAACTGATTATGAATTTATTTTTAGGTTTTGTGTGAATACATTATAAAAAAAATCCCAGTCCCACTTAGAGATTTCACATCAGAACCTCGTCTTATCGTTATCAGATCGTTTGATGTCAACAAGCCTGGTTGTGAAGTGAATGACCTCAAAGGTGGGGTTGCCGGTGGCAGTATTTTGAGAGGGGTACTCAGAGTTGGTCAAGAAATTGAGGTGAGTTAGGAGAGGTACTCCTAGTCTCTAGGAGCGAAGCAAACAAACTTTTGTCAGAAGGGTAGATAATATATTTTTCGTTACTTTCAGGTTAGACCAGGTCTGGTGAGCAAAGACTCTGAAGGAAAATTGACCTGTCGTCCCATCTTTTCAAGAATTGTGTCTTTGTTCGCAGAACAAAATGAACTGCAGTTTGCTGTTCCTGGGGGTCTTATAGGTGTTGGTACGAAAATTGAACCAACACTTTGCCGAGCAGATCGTTTGGTGGGTCAAGTTTTGGGAGCTGTAGGTGCTTTGCCTAGCATTTTCATTGAACTTGAGGTATGACAACTTTTTTTTATAAATATACCTACCCCAGGTAGGTATATACATCTATATTTAAAAAAAAAAGAATATTGCAGTGTGCAATAAAATATATTCAGCATATGAAAAATATATGACTACNTAAATATACCATATATTGATCTGTGATCCGTTCCGTTCCCTACTTGAAACTAATTCTCAAGCAAAGATCTGAATTTTGTCTGGCGAAGTTTACAAGTGGTACAAGCTATTCACAGAAGGTCGAGAAGATGTGAAAGATGACGCTCGCCGTTATGGAGAATCGTCGAATCACTATTAGAGTAGTTGCTGAGAATGTTGGCATATTGGTTAGCCAATGCCATTCAATTTTTTTGTAAATTTTGGGCAAGGAGCATGTGGCAGTGAAGGTCATCTAAAATTGACTAATTTTGAACAAAAAACTGTTGCTGGAGCATCGCTCAGAAATTGTTGTAAGAAGTCAATGGTCCAGATTTGCTTGAAAGGGTCATAAATGGTGGCGAATCATGGGTATATGTTTATGACTCAGAAACCAAAGTCCAATCGTCCCAATGGAAGAGTCCAGGAGAGCCAAAACCAAAAAAAGCATGTCAAGGTCGATCAAGGATTTGCTCACTGTTTTCTTGGATTACAGTGGCATAGTGCATGAGGAGTTCTTGCCACATGGTCGTACAAGAACATTTTTTAGGAGAAGTAAAAGCATAGTTGAATGTAATGTTTACTGTAAAAGGTCGCCAAGGCCGCCAGACCCAACATCAATGGATTTTCATCTTTGCAAAACAGTATAATTAGAGGTTTATCATACTATCTCTACTACACGAAGGACGTGAACAAATGATGTCCTTAGATTTGAGCTGCATGAGAACAAACAAGAGATTCAAAAAATATACAAACTGAATGGACGGCATTTTAATATGTATTATAAGGATAATTACTGTCGACTTTGGTTTTATATTCGAAATATTCAACAGGTATTTCTTCAGTTTTGAAAATAATTATAAAAACAAAAAGTATTATTGAAGTGGACGAAAAATCAAAGTGATATTTGAAGCACCCTGTACGAAAGTAAATTACCATTAGAGCACTGCACGCTACTTAAGTGTTTTCCACATAAATTCATTAGACAAAATTCAGATCTTTCAAAAAATAGCTTAATTACAGTTATTCCAAGTACCACTTTATTGTGATATGTGATGGAAATGGGTGATACTTAATGAGAATCCATAACATATTCAAGTAATATTTTATTGCAAGATTTTCAACAAGATATATAAAAAAAATGTATTTAATAAGATGAAGGTGAGATATAAAAAATTGCAATATGTTGCACAATTAATTTTTAATTATAAGAGAACAGTAACAAAAGTCGATGAGAGTATCATCCTATTTAGGTTCTTATTTTGTGATTTGAAGTCTACAAACTTTTAAAGATATATTCCGCGGAGGGGAGACCATCGAACCATCGAATAACTAATAGTATAGAATAGTTTTATTTTTTGTTTTCGTTTCATTAGGTTTTATTTCAAAGGATATACTCTGAAATATAATCAGAATATAAAAATAAATTCATTATGACGAACAAATTGTAAAAAATGTTATTTCAATATCTCCGATATCTCCAATGTCTCCAATATCACCACACAATGTGTATTCTTTTGTGATGAATAAAATGATTCTGATTCTCCGAGGTGATGGCAACGGATCATTGTGGAAACTTGATAGCCATATGAATGGAGCAACGTTGGGTGCATCTACCACTTGGATGGGTACGGAGCTTGAATAGACTTTCAATGCAATTTTCTGGCACTTGCAGAGAATTACTCGTTGAAAGATAGGACCTGCTTTATCCTGAGCTCATAAGTTTTGAATTCTGAAGCTTACAACTCTTGAGTGGGTGACAATTAAGAGAAAACTCTATTTTTATACTAATATTTCCTGACTACTCTTTTGAAAATTTGTCTGGAAAACGGGGCTCATGAAATGAATATTTTTTTATATTAGGTTGTTTCAAAAGTTTCACTCCGTTCAAGTGTCATGTGTTTTTGTAGTTCCATATCAATAAATATTTATTCTACTGTGTAGTATGACTGATCGATAGAGTCTCATGTACACAATGCATCGTGTTGTTCATTTTTTCCAAATTTTAATTTTTGGCCTTTAACTTATCACTATATGATGTCGTTGAGCGTTCGGCCAATTTTTCTCTAAGAATTCAAATTGAATCAAAAGGAAAAATGATCCAGGCATTTGGCAATGATAGTGTTGATAAATACACTGTTCGCTGTTGGTTTGCGAAATTTCGTTCTGGAGATTTTAGCCTTGAAGGTTAGCCCCAAAGTAGAAGACCTACACTAATCCAGGATGAGGATTTGAAGATTTTGGTGAAGACTGACCCATCACAAAGGATTCGTGGGGTGGCGGAAGAACTGGGCATCAGTTTTTGATGATTTAGAACAAATTGGAAAATTCAAATAGTTCGAAAAGTGGGTGTCCCACGATTTGGATGTTCAACAGAAACTACCACGTTTTGAGGTCTGTTCTTTACTCCAAAACGATCCTTTTTTTTTTTGATTGGATCGT